CCCTTTTTAAATTTTATTTTCTAGACAAAACTGTTGCCCAGACTGGTCTTAACTTGAGGTCCTCCTGTCTCAGCCTCCCAAGTACCTGGAACTTACAAGTGTGCTCCACCACTCCTGCAGGGGTGGACTTCAAAATTATGTAATTTTGACTCCAGAGTCTTGCTCTTAATGGTGCATACAAGCCAAGGCCCACTTTGCTTGTTGATTGCATAGCTGCGTGTGAGAGGGATCAGACTGTGCCATTCATGATACACTGCTCTTTCTCCTCATTTGACTAAATTCATGACCAGATGGATGTCTTCTTCCTCCCTCAGCCATCAGAGAATCCCTCCAGTGATGAGTCCAGACTTCCCAGAAAGAAGAGAGGTTGTGGTCAAGGACATGGTAACAGCAGTGCTCCCTGGTGACAACTATGCACCCATTTATTCACATTTACAGTGGTCCAACTACATATGCACCATGTGCCAGGCACTGGTAGGGTACACAATGCATGGAGAAGAGGCACAAAAATAAATCAGATGGAGAATCTGTCCTCTAGGTACTTGAAATACTGGAGGAAACAGCCATGCATAAAACTGAGTATATGTGAGTTAAGAACATCTTAATTAAGGCTGTCTTAATTTACCATAAAACGAGGACCAAATGAAGACTCTGAAACTTGAGAGCTGGAATCAATTACCTCTAACTTGTGCCTAAGAGGGAACTGCAAGCCTGGGAAACATGTCATGGCGCTGCTTGGAAAAGCAAGCAGAACTTGCGTATGCAGAGAAGAGTTGCTGGAGGACTGCTTTCAAACAAAGAAGGCCAAGTGCACAGAGGCTGTGAAGTGGGGGCCTGGACAGGGAATTGTCACTGGACAGGGAATTGTCCACTGGCTCTGTGGCTGGAGGGTTCCGCCGGGACAGAGAGCAGAGAGGAGGGAAGGAAGGAGGAGGGAAGACTGGAGAGGGCCTTGAAAGCCAGGCTGAGGGTGCAGGCTTCATTATGTCAACCTGTCATTATCAAGTATGTTGTTGGGCCAGGGATGTACCCAAATTCTTCCTTCATAAATGGATGCTCTGTCTCCCAAAGGCCCACGTGTTAAAGGCTGGGTCCCCAGGGTGGTGCTACTGGAGGTGGTGGAACTCTTGGAAAGTGGGCCTAGTGAGAGTCCTTAGGTCAGTGGCAGTGTGCCCTCAAAGGGGTCTGTGAGACCCTAACCCCATCCCCTCTCTCTTTGCTCCCTAGCTTCTGGTGGGAGTGGTTTTGCTCTACCACGTGCTCCTGCCATGGTATGCAGCCTCGCCACAGACCTGAAGCAATGGGGCCAATTGATCACAGATTGGAACCTCTAAAAGTGTGGGCCAAATAAACCTTTTCTCTTTATCAGTTGATTATTCGGGTATTTCATTATAGTGACAGAAAGCTGACTGATGCAATAGTAGTGATCCACTTCCTTCTCAAGTAAAGACACAGCTGTCAGAGCGAGTGTACACTGAGTGCATCAAGTAGCACGCAATGAGAGCAAGATTGTAATATGGGGTGGCTGAGAGATGGGAGTAGTGGAGTGTCAAGGCATTGCTCAAGAAAAATCAAATATTGGCTAGTACACGTGAAAACTGTCTCCTCGGCATATGAAAGTGCCATCAGGGCTGTGCTGGGCTCAGCAGCTGAAGGGGAACTATGAGATGACACCAGTATCTGTGACGCTTACCTGGCTTGGGTTGTGTAACATTGATTGGACATTCACCGTAATTACTGCCAACTTTTTAGTGTTTATTTGAATCATTTAATCTGGATTTGAATCCTAGCTCTGCCATTTGCCTTTGATCATGTTTCAGATTTCTGCATCCCTCCGTTTTGTTGTCTGCATTCTGCAGACAAAAATGCCAGAAGGAACCTCAGGGGCTGTTGTGAGCGCTGACTACAATAACAGGTGACACAGTGCTCAGCAAGGTGCCGGGCTCAGAGCAAGTGCTTGATCAGTATCATGTTACAATTATTTTACTTGTTGTGTAGGTCATTCTCAATTCCAGAATTCAAAGCTTGTGGGAACATGTACCCACAAAACACCCGGTGAATGGCAGAAAGAGGGATTCTTCAGGAATCAACGTGGGGACCCTGGGATCCGGTTGGACACATAGCTGACTCCAGTGCAACAGGACCCATATTTACTGAGCATGTGGTGCGTGCCAGGCTGTCCCAAGCATGTTACATGCACAACATTTGGCACAAAGTGGTGTAGGGAGAGGCCAGAGGGAGAAGAGCAATCTGGAGCCAAATAAGAGGCAGGGGGTGTTTTACTCAGCGTGCGATGCACAAGAATGAAGACCCGAGAGACCTGGCAGATGCCAAGCACACAGAAGCCGGCAGACAGGCAAGCCAAGCAGGCGGAAAACCTCCTGGAGCCCACGTGGCCAGACAGATGGCAGCATGTTCGTGTACAAATAGATGTCATGGGTGGGCTTGGGGAAGTGACCAAAACACAGGCTTTCCCTCCAAAGGGGTCATTTTGAGAATAACAACTTGATGGCGCAGAGAGGATGGGCCCGTCTGATTTCAATAAATAAAAAAGATCCACCGAACACTCACCTCAAAGCACTTTTCCTTCTTTGCTTGGTGAAGCAGGCTGGCCATCCAGGAAGTAGAACTGGAAAGATGTAAGTTTCAAAATATTCCTTGGGAGAACCTAAAAAAACAAGCAAACACATTCCCACTGCAAATCCCAAACCACCCAGGTTCATCTGGGAAGAATGCTGAAAAAGGCGCTGTCTGCTCCATCATGTGAACTTCCATGTTCTGTGTTGCTCCAGACTGCTGCATCAGACTGCTACCAAAGGAACTTAAAATACCCTTTGAGCCTTTGTAGTCTGGCAAGAATGTAGGCCGGGTCCTTAGAGGACAGGATAGGTCCCAGGCAGTAACAGCAAGGAGGCCAGTGTGGTAGAAGGACAGAGGGAGGTTGTGAGAACTGAGCTAGGGTGGAGGGCAGTGCACAGGACCTGAGGGCCATGGTCCTGGTGGCTGGGGTTGGCCGAGTGGAGGCACAGAGCAAACCAGTAAGACAGGCCTGGGCACCAGGGAGGCCTGAGAGGTTGGGGTTCAGGGAGGAAGGTATGCAGCCCACACCTCCGGGCAGGGCAATGTGACATTTTTTTCTGCTCTGTGCATTGTTGGCCCTTTATTTCCCCTCCTTTGTATTTAATGTACAGCCAGAGGGAGCTTGTTGTTATTACCTCTAACTACCTTTTTTACTTTTTTTTTTTTTTTTGGCAGTGCTGGCTTTGAACTCAGGGCAGCATGCTTGCTACACATGCACTCTACCGCTTGAGCTACACCTCCAGCCCTTTTTGCTTTAGGTTATTTTTCAGATATGATCTTAACACTTTTTGCCCAGGCTGGTCTCGAAACAAGATCTTCATACCTATGCCTCCCATAT